AATATTTTTACTGAATAAGGATACTTATTGGCAACATCGAACCGAGAAGCTGTCTTTGTTTCGTGCATGTAAACTTCTCCTGCTCTCTCTTACTCAATTTATACTTCCTCGGTTATCGATTCAATTTCAATTAATTAAATTTGATTTTCAATAATCCACAAAAACATGAATCAATTCTATCTAAAACATTCAATTGTGTATTTTGCGCAAGAATCTCGTAAATTTTGTAGGGATTGCGGTCAAGGGGTTATGGATTGCGGCAGGATTTCCGGGATGCAGGTGATTTTGTATCAAGATTGCGGAGATTGGTTCTTTCGGGCATGCCAAAAATATTAGAGTGGACCCTTTGAAAGGTTTATAGTATACATGTAAAAATTACTGAAATTGCGGCCGAACAGTAACTGCTTATCTACTTCTGTAACGTGTTCAAAAAAGCTCAAACTCTTCTTTTTCTAAGGGTTCTGTGGCTTGCCCAAGAAAGTCGGAATTTATCAAATTTCAGAATTTATTCTTTTTCAACAGAAAACTCACCGGATTCCTAATAACTCAACTTCAAAGAATTTGAGAAGTTTGGAGAAAATGTGGGTAATATTTATCAAATAATAGAAGAAGTTCCTATGCAAATTTTAAGAAGTTTCTAGGCAAAATTGGAGAAATTTCTACGCAAAACCTATACACTTTTGAGACAACGCAAATTCTTATTTTTTCTCTTGAATTGCTAAGGCTTCAGCTACAACAGCATAATAAAATTGTATGATGATCAGCCTTAAAATTACTTATCTGGGAATTTCCAAAAGTAATGGTTACAGAGCATACGAAAGAACTTCCTGGAAAGGTTGCTTCTTCTCAAGAAAATGCAGGGAAAGTAAAAGAATTTTGAGAAAGTTGGTTGGGAATCTGGGTTAGAAAGGGGAAGTTCGAGGGGTAAACCACTAGTGAAAATCATTGTACATTGTTTTGGGAATCACATAGTAATCAATCAACTATTTATTTTGGTCATATCAATGCCTAACAATCAGACATCGTTTTTGTAATTAAATCAGCTGAAAATCGGATGATTGTAGGAAATCATTGAGGAAATCAGGTAATCAATTAAGAATGATATAGGAATCCCCAGAAAAAATGTAAATCACCTGGTAATCATATAAACATTTCTGAAAATCATTGGCAATAAGTCGCAGTTCTTGGGTTGGAAATACATGAGATTCATTGATCCGTGATTGACAAATATGGAAATATTGGAAATCATTGTACATTTCCAAGCATAGTGGTTGACCCTCAAGGAAGTTCAAATTGTGCAAGTTCCTGAGACTTTGTGGAAATTTTGAGAAATATTTAAGAAATCTGATGAAACCGGAGGAAGTTCAAAGGATGTTTGAGGAAAATCGAAATTTTTTTCAAGTATCTTACGAGAAAACCTTTGAGCAACATTCTCCAATAATCTCGATTGTTACATTTCCAACATAAGTCCTCATTGGCTTTCAAAATCTAAGAAACATCTAAGCACCACCTGGTGCGATTGCGTGTCTTACTACAAAAAAAAAAAAACCACCAAGTGCATTAAACTTGAGAGAACAACTGAAGCGTTTAGGCTTTATATACATGCAAAAGAGAAAGATCCCGGCCGCGATTATTTACATTTTTGGTTTTTCTAATTACGAATTAGCTATTGGCTTATTTCGACTATACCCATATTATATAGAAATCAAATCTCATAATATGAACACCGAGAAAAAGCGTATATTTACAATGCCCGAGGCCAAAAGGTGCTGTCGGTTGCGCCAAGGCTATGGGAAAAAGATAACTGGCCGGCAGGTTCAAACAACGCACTTGGCAGACACACAACATACACACGAAACCGGTGCACGTCAGGGTACTACTTCTCTTTTGGTACCCATTACATGATTATAATGCTGGGGCTGCTTACCGTATAATCTGGTTGTAACGCGAGGATCAAAACTTTGTTGAATTATTAATTGTAATGGCGCGATGTCAACTTGGTGCGCGCCTGGGTACTATAATACACTTTTGACTGAAAAAGTAAATGTTGTTTTATGTCCATACCATTTAATTATTATAACAGCGATTGTCAAGACACTTTCTTTTTTAGCAGTGGCGGATACAGTGGAGGAAGCTTAGTCTAGATTTTGTCCAAAACTTCAAATTCGATTTTCTCAAAAACTATAAACGCTAGCGATTTCAACTAAATACCATCTGAAAGCCCTCATCTAGAGCTACAAACCCTGAAAATTTTGTCTCGGTACCGCTTTTGGTTAAGAAGATATTGAGTTTTGAATATTTGAAAATAAAAATCCAAAGTCCTAGACCGAGTTCAAATTAGTCAGAAACGACTCTTAGATCGGTTAGATTTGAGAATTATAATGAGAGAAGAAATCCTATAGGAAATCTCAATTTTTGTCTCTGGAAATTTTTTGAAATCTTGACACGCTCATGAATAATTGCCCATTTCTTCGATAGAATTTGAGCAAATTAGTTACAGTTACATATCATTGAAAAGAGCATTAAATTCTCTTCAAAACTGTACCATATTGGTTCCAGTACCTCAACGGGTTCATGAACAATCGAACTCCAAATTTGAACTTTAGTCAAAATTTTGTCCAAAACTTCAAACTGGATTTTCTCAAAAACTATAAACCCTAGCGATTGCAACTATATACCATCTGAAAGCTCTTATCAAGAGCTACAAACCCTGCAAATTTTGTCTCGATACCGCTTTTGGTTACGAAGATATTGAGTTTTGAAGATTTGAAAATAAAAATCCAAAGGGGGTACCCTTAGGAAAAAGTGCAAAAAATTGAAAATTTTTATTTTTGAATTTTTCTCAATTCTGACTTCAGAAATCGATAGAGCGAGTTCAAATTAGTCGGAAACAACTCTTAGATCAGTTATATTTGAGAATTATAATAAGAGACAAAATCCTATAGGAAATCTCAATTTTTGCCTATGGAAATTTTTTGATATATTGACACGCTCATGAATAATTGCCCATATTTTCAATGACATTTTAGCAAATTAACTACAATTATATATCATCGGAAAGAGCATTAAATTCTCTTCAAAACTGTACCATATTGGTTCCAGTACCTCAACGGGTTCATGAGCAATCGAACTTCAAAGTTGAACTTTAGTCAAAATTTTGTCCAAAACTTCTAACTCGATTTTCTCAAAAACTATAAGCGCTAGCGATTTCAACTAAATACCATCTGAAAGCCCTCATCAAGAGCTACAAACCCTGCAAATTTTGTCTCGGTACCGCTCTTGGTTACCAAGATATCGAGCTTTGAACATTTGAAAATAAAAATCCAAAGTACCTTAGAGAAAAGCAAAAAATTGCTAATTTTTATTTTTGAATTTTTCTCAATTTTGACTTCAGAAATCGATAGAGCGAATTCAAATTAATCAGAAACAACTCTTAGATCAGTTAGATTTGAGAATTATAATGAGAGAAAAAATCCTATAGGAAATCTCAATTTTTGTCTCTTGAAATTTTGACATGCTCATGAATAATTGCCCATTACTTAGATAGGCTGTCAATATATAAAAAAACACCCTGTACCTACCTATTTAATAGTAGATTATACCACGAGTCAATAATGATAGCTATTATTCCCGAGGTATATTTACGAACTGAGCCGCGTTAGCGGCGAGGGAGTAACATTCCGAGGGAATAATAGCCATTATTGCGAGTAGTATACTCTACTTTATTTACGACAAATTAATTTATTTGAAATTTTCTTTCCAAAAACGCTCTTTGTTCATCCATCTCAATACAAATACACAAGCACTACGCGTTTGACACTGACACTGAATATGTTCTATACTGTTTCCATGGTACTACCTACTTATTTAATTCGAAAAATTTTGTGATTGGTGTGCAAGCGGGATTAATGACCATTAATCCCTGCGGGAATAATAGATGTCATTAAACTGCCAAAATCACAAATATAATACTTACATTATATGTCAGTCGTAAATAAAATTACCTTATTCTCCTAAATAATTCCCCCATTCCCATATTTTTATGGGCCATTCCTTCGAAAAACCTTATCTTGCACAATGCGTTGCCAAAACTAACCCAATCTTTAACTTAAACTGTCCCACCGCCCTTTCAAAACGCCTGTATCCCTGTTTTCTAGTATACTTTCAAGTTTTTTTGGCACCCACAGTGTTGCCATTTACAATGTGAATCGGTAAAATTAGGGATTGAATAATTATGAATAACCAAACTGTATTTTTGAATTATAGTTATATAAATGAAACTTGGACTATTCCTGGCTCTTATTTGAAATAATTTTTGGAGTGATTTGAATAATTGACATATTGAAATAACATAAATTTGTAGGTAATGCAAAAATGCGATATCTTGTATTGGGACATCGATCTATCTCCAGTTTAATTCTGGAATCTGGAATTAATACACTAAAAACCTACACATGAGTAATTATTATGTAAATGGATAGGTATTATAAAATTCCAATGTAACCCTGGGCTTTAAATGTGTCGTTAAGTAAAGCGATTGCAACGTAATTATCACCTCGTCAACATTGGATTATTGTCACGTATACGATTGCATCAATATTTACCACGTTTTAGCAATAAAAACAATATTGAACAATTTTTACAAAACGAGTTGCTACGGAACACATAATTATTAAACGCCGTGTAGTGCGTAATTAAAAACCAAAACACCGTTGTAAAATAATTAGATTAAATGTTTTTAAATGGAAGCTCGACTGTGCGTAACTAAAGAAAACCGGTGCATCGATGTCGGGTGAATCACTCGATTTAATGGTTCAGCTTCCTCTAATCCCTCAGGAATAGGCTGATGCACGAGGGCAATTTTTCATTGAATGCGAGAAGAAAAATGATCTTGTATTTGACGATAATTTATTACCTGCTTATATTATTTGCGGCTCAATTTCTATAATGTTTCAGCTAGAAATGTTACGTCACTGACAGTTTCTTTTTTTTTGTTTCAGAGGCTCACGTGATGGGCACCAAGCCCTGGGAGAGCATCGCCAGAGGCCTGTCGTTCCCGCGTTGCCTCCTCGCACCCCTAGCAACTCCTTTCTACCGTTTTCTGGCCAGATTCTCAGGTAAGTGTCTTCATCTTCTGGTATTTAACTACTCGTTGTCTTACTATTGCCTTGCCTTGTCAATGTATTCGCGTTTAATTTACTAATTCTTGACGCCTTCTCTCAGTATGGGAATCCGTTTTATAGTGCGTCCTTGCTTGTCTAGATAATTTAAACTTCGCAGTAGTATTGAGTGTCCCCGGTATTTCTGGCTTGGATGAAGCAACTACAAAAGTCCTCTACCAACAAAAGTACCACAACAACATTAGATTCTTCTAAAATACCTATAAGATAAAGTAACAAATTTACATAATTCCCAAATTTCTATGGAAATTGTTGAAGCTGTTGGAGCCTGAGATGTCATCTACAGCTACCAAATCGTAATCTTTGACACAAGAATCTTTATTGAAATCTATCAGGGAAAAAAACAAGATATTTTTAATTTGTGATCTTTTAATGAAGAATCATGATGATCCAGGTACACGACATCGAAAAATGCAAGGGGTACAAACAATTCTTTAAAAGGGAATTTTTTACGCATAATTTCTCAAAATTCCTGCAAATTCCTCCAGATACCCCATCACAAATTCCTCCAAATACCCCACCACGAACTTCTCCAAAGACCCCACTTTTTGCATGTAAAGAGGAAGGTGAGAAAATCATTTTCCCAAAATTTAATATTTTTCCAGTGGAAAACAGCAACATGTAAAATCTTGGAAATCAACCTACAAAAACAGAATTAGTTGAAAATACAGTCTCACACATTTCAAAGTTTTTCTGGAAAACTTATTTTTCCAGAATTTCAAATTTTTCCAGTAGAAAATTACATGAGGAATCTTGAAAAACAACCTACAATAGCTGAATTAATTGAAAATACAGTCTCACACATTTCAAAATTTTCCTGGAAAACTAGTGAAGGGAAAATTTTCAAACTTTTTGCATGTAAATAGGAAGCTGAGAAGCTCATTTTCCCAAAATTTCTAATTTTTCCAGTAGAAAATAGCAACATGAAAAATCTTGGAAATCAACCTACAAAAACTGAATTAGTTGAAAATACAGTCTCACATATTTCAAAGTTGTCCTGGAAAACTAGAGAAGGGAAAATTTTGAAACTTTTTGCATGTAAAGAGGAAGGTGAGAAGCTCATTTTCCCAAAATTTCAAATTTTTCCAGTAGAAAATTACAACATGAGGAATCTTGGAAATCAACCTACAATAACTGAAGTCTCACACAGTTCAAAGTTTTTCTGGAAAACTAGTGGAGGGAAAATTTTGAAAGTTTTTGCATATAAAAAGTAAGCTGAGAAGCTCATTTTCTAAAAATTTCAAATTTTTCCAGTGGAAAATAACAGCATAAGGAATATTGGAAATCAACCTACAATAACTGAATTATTGAAAATACAGTATCACATATTTCAAAGTTTTCCTGGAAAACTAGTGTAGGAAAAACTTTGAAACTTTTTGCATGTAAATAGGAAGCTGAGAAGCTCATTTTCCCAAAATTTCTAATTTTTCCAGTAGAAAATAGCAACATGAAAAATCTTGGAAATCAACCTTCAAAAACAGAATTAGTTGAAAATACAGTCTCACATATTTTAACGTTTTTCTAGAAAACTAGTGAAGGGAAAATTTTGAAACTTTTTGCATGTAAAGAGGAAGCTGAGAAGCTCATTTTCCCAAAATTTCAAAATTTTCCAGTAGAAAACAGCAACATGAAAAATCTTGGGAATCAACCTACAAAAACTGAATTAGTTGAAAATCAGTCTCACATATTTCAAAGTTTTCCTGGAACATTGTAGAAGGGAAAATTTTGAAACTTTTTGCATGTAAAGAGGAAGGTGATGAGAAGCTCATTTTCCCAAAATTTCTAATTTTTTCCAGTAGAAAATTACAACATGAGGAATCTTGGAAATCAACCTACAATAACTGAATTAATTGAAAATACAGTCTCACACATTTCAAAGTTTTCCTGGAAAACTAGTGAAGGGAAAATTTTGAAACTTTTTGCATGTAAAGAGGAAGCTGAGAAGCTCATTTTGCCAAAATTTCAAAATTTTCCAGTAGAAAACAGCAACATGAATAATCTTGGAAATCAGGCTACAAAAACTGTTGGTATTCCTTATCCTTTTGAATTTTTTAAATTTGGACCTGTAAATCATGAAGTGTAATTTTGGGAGGATTTCTTTACTTAATAAAAATGAATATCCAACATCCAACACAAAACTAGATTTTTTTTAAAATTTCCATTTATTACTATTTCTTTTAATAAGAATGTGACGGCATGACCTTACAATTTCCTTTAAATTCCTCACAAATTCTCCCAAATTCCCCATAATTTTCTCCCAAATTCCCTATAAATTCCTCAAATTCTAATAAATTCCGATGAGTTCCTTCAAATTCCCCACAAATTCCTCTAAATTCCGCACATTTTTGGCAAAGAATTCCTAGGTGGTATAGAAATATATAGGTGATTTGTATGAAAATGGGGTTTACAGCAGGATTAAATTACGAGCTGTAAATGATTATCCAAGAAACGGATGTTTCGAAGGGTAAACCACTGAGCGAAATCTGTACACCAGATATCCTTTTACTGAGGTACATTCCCGAGTAACCTCAAGACATCCCTGGATATCCTCAGACATCCTCGGACATCCCTGGACATCCTAGGAAATTCCTGGACATCCTAGGAAATCCCTGGACATCTCTTCTTTCTATACATATCTCTGATATATTTTTGAGGACTATTGGCCTTCTATAGCAAAGTTTGTGACAAAAAATATTAGTCATTGTTACCTTGTAACATGTTGAAAAACCAGACCATCTTCAAGATAGTGATGCTATGATGACAGAATTGAGAGAAAATTTAAGAGCTTGAAATAGAGTCAAAATACTTTGTGTACCATTTTTTTTCTCAGTTTCTTTTAAATTTCTTTTCTCTATTGCTCAATTTTTCCGGCTCTCGAATTTTTCGAAAAAGAAAATTCAAGAGCCTGGAATAGGAAAAACATAAATGCCCGTTTATTTAGCATTTTTTTCTCAATTTCTTTACCTTTCTTCTCTAGTTAATTCTCAGTTTTTCCTTCACAATTTTTGTCTATCTCCGGCTCTTGAATGTTCGTTTTCTTCTAAATTTCTCTAAATATATACACATACGCTGATGGATAAAGAAGGATATACCTTGCAGCTGATGATGTTACTTCAATGAAAAAACAAAGGAAATACCTTTGTTACCTCAGAAAATGCCATGATTTTTTCATAAGGCCTCCCCACATCTCCTGGGTTATCTTCGGACATCCCTTTGGAGATCCCATGAACATTCTGTGACATTCCCGGAAATCCTGGGATATCCCTTGACATCCTCTGAACATCCCCAGGCTTATATGCCGGATTTATGGTGCGGTTTACCCCTCGAGATATTCAGATACTTGATTTTTAAAGAAGGACCATGCTGGACAAAGATCAATAAGCAGTGGTTCAAAATAGAGTTCGCTGATGGAAAATTGATGCTTTTCTAGTACAGCTTCTATTCACACTGTAGGAGATTTGAATTCGAAAGTGTTTTCTCCTGAGTCTTCAGAGTTTTAAGAAAAATTTCCGCCTACCACCACTTGTGCAGTGTACCAGAGTTGTCAATAAGTAGTATAAATTTCATAAAAGAAAAGGTTACAGAGGTATTGATGAAGATGAATAAAGATTCAAGTTCTGGACCAGATGAAATATTCCTATAAAGTACTTTATAGAGAAACAGTTCATGGTCGACTCGCAGAGGTAATGAGGAATGCATGGAAAAATCCCGAGAAAATGGAAACTTTCACAAACCATCAGACAACTATCTATCCATAAGTCTCACAAGCAACCCATTGCAATGCATGGGAGTTCACAGCATTTTTCTATGAAAATAACCTAATACCCCCATCACAAGGATTCTTTGCAAAACGATCCACTACAACGAACCTGCTCGAATGCCTTGATGATTGGACAAAAGAGTATAATAATGGTCAGCCAACATATATACTTTAACTCGATTATGAAAAAGCCTTCGATGAAGTTTCTTATAATCTTCTGCTGGGAGAGTTGGAGCATTTTGCAGTAGGTACTTGGACACCTGCTAGAATTGATAAACGATTTGTTATATGAAATCAGGTACGTTTTTGGATAAACATCGAGCTAGTAATGGCGTTGTTCAGAGGGATCTGTAGTAGGCTGTTCACATCATACTTTTTTGATCTTGTCGATCTTATAGAAACATTTCAGATGATGGGAAAACTTTATGCACATCCAACTTAACATGCAGTGCAGCTTCAAAAAAGACTTGCAAACTGTTGAGGAGTGGTCAAACGCATGGGAGATAAAATTGAATGAAGCCAAATGCACCTTTCTTAGAATAGGCCTAAAGAATACAAATATTGAGTACATGCTAAATAACCAAGTTCTTTTAACAGTACCAGAACAAAGTGATCTCGGAGTTATGGTGAAATTAAATCTTAAATAGAAGAAACAATAGTTTCATGGGCTTGCAACGCCTGCTATTGGTCAATTACATGGAAATGGAAACAAGATATTTTTAATTTGTCATCTGTTTTCATGGACAATCATGATGATTCTATAAAGATCCAGGTACATGACTCATCAAAATATGGGTTAATAAAGGAAATAAATAGGTGATTTGCGTAGAAAGATTAGTTTCCTGAGATAAACCTATAACATTATAAGCTAAAGGTGATACATCCATTGAGCTTGTAGACTAATGGAAAGTTCTAATACACCTATTTAACACATTTTCGCTTATTTCCGTCCGAATTGGAAAAATAAAAAAGAGGAAACCCATTGAGTACTTGTCGCAAAGCGTTCTCAGACGAGCTCATTCATCGCAATATAAACGTCTGGGGCTATTTTCAGGGTGTCGTCGGACATAAATAAAGTAAAAGTCGCACCCGTGTGTCTGATGGCCAGACGCATATTTAACATCTCCGTCTACTCACTAAACAAAGATCGCGAATACGATAACCGAATGTGCCAAAT